TTTCTTTTTTCCCGAGGAAACTTTACCACTAAATTGCATCACTTCCGAAATGCATGATTGAAATGTTCAAGAAATGTCTTCTAAATTAAACTTACAAGATGAATATCACCATTTGAGCTCTTATGTTAACAGATTTTAAGTCAAATCAGCTGATTACAAAATTTTGCGAGAAAAGTACTAGTCTTTATATTTATTTAGCTACTTTTGCTTTTCTTGGTATCATACCAATGTGATACCATTTTATTCTTCCTTCCTTTTCGATTGTCTTAAGAGGTACCATCTGCTGCTTAAAATTTTGACCAATTTCTCTGCAAGATGCTCCAACTGCAAACTTGTACGTATTTCATACATAAATTGAATTAATTTGCCAGCCGCCCAAACATGTTTGATATGCACCCAAGTGTGAACAATTCACAGGGAATGAAGGAGACAATTTGGAGCACGAAACTCATTTTTACCGCCATTTTTACCCTCTTAAACCTTCGTTAACCGTTTTCTTGGTTCATGGCGGTGCTCAGTGACGATAAATCCAAGCCTTTCGACTAGTGTTTGACTACCTGGTAAGACTATTCTAATGCTGCCATATAAAGCCTTGGGACAGACTTGACGCAGCTAATGCAGAAGTGTTGGATGGCGAAATTCTGCCCTCTGGAGATGTTTATCATGCACACCTCTTACTTGTTTCGCATTTCATTCTCAAAGGTTGCTGGGCATGATTGGTATTTATATTTGGGAGGTGAGTGGGATGACTCTGTCTGCCAGCAGACCATTCAAAAGGTACTGAATTTTGTGTTTTGGGGGAGCAGGAAGAAGCCAGTAAGTCCCCTGTGGACCAAGTAATTGCTTACCTTACCTGCTTTCAACACATGATTGGTAACCAGAGTTAGCCATTTTCTGTTTTAATGCATCGAGTTTTGCCAGAAGAAAACTATGATGCCACAAGGCAATGGGTTTACTTTGTTTCATATTCTTGGTTATTTGTCCCAAATTTCTCAGTGATCCCTCATGGCTGCTTTAACCAGATGTTTTCTATAGTTGTCGTGGTTTGCTGACCGGCAAATGACTGTACTGTGTACATGCACTATATTTTAGCAGAGATACTCTAAGCTGCATAGGAATTATAACGTGAGTTAAAAATTGGCATGTAATAAATAGCCAGGCCACCGCATTTAAAATGTAACACTAACATCTCAAACTTTGTCATTGAATATGAATAAACAAGCCCACATGGATACATTTGCTTCAGCTGAAAAGCAAGCAGCAATACTGGCATGGTCATCTAAAAGTTATATTATTTTTGTAGAAGAGAGATTGATTTGTGGAGCATGCCCATTATTGCACTTGACATAGGTTAATCATGACAATCAAAATAAGTTGTTCAAAGTGATTTAAAGTGTTTTGATTTGTGTGTTGTCGACTTTGTCTGATGTCAATAAGCATACACAAATGAACTGGATAAAAGTGCAAGTTGAAACCAGCCAAAAACTGGCTTTAAATATTATGCTTTTATCACAAGTGCTGCTGTCAACAGATAGGTGAGTTGAGATGATGTTCATCATATGGGCTACTCTCAGTTAGGTTAAGTTGGTCAAGTGCATGTCAAGCGGCAAGCATAGGAACTGTGCAAGAATCAGTAACTCACAACTGCTGCTGTGATGCAAACAGGCTATACAGGATGAGATGATATAAGGCTTCTTCATGTTATGCATAGGCTACTTTCATGGAAATAAGCATTGGTATTTTGTAAGAAGCAGTGACAAAATGCTTGTTTTTCCTGACCCCATCTTAACAGAAGCCAGAAGTATGTCTATTGTGTTTGGCTTGGTGATGGACTGCTGTATACGTGTCCAAGGTTTTTTTGATTGAGTGTTTTATGGTTGTTGAATTTTCTGTCGTTATTTTGTTATTGAATTCCTTTGCTTTGCTTTGTTTTAAAAGTGCTGTGGAAGGGAATTGAAAAGTGCAGCAACAAATAATTGGTGTTAATAACTTGTTATGCACATAATACAGTTGTGAAATTACTATGTTTTAACACGCGCCCGGTTGGTCGGCTAGATACCCTTCGCTCGGGTGGGGGTGGAGGGATCAATTTGACACCCTCTCTGAGATCTCGGGAACTAAGCAAGCTAGATACACCAAATTTACAGGGTGTCTTGACCTGTACGTGAATTCACTTAGATAAAGGTTTCAGCTTCCTAGGTCATGACCTTCAGGTTGAATAGGGTCAAACAAGGTCAAATTCCAGGTTGGTCTCCAAAGCGCCCCCAGAACCTAGACAACTGTTTCTAAGCAAAAGGTCGCATGCACATTTAAGGTCATTGACCTTGTTTGACCCTTTGAAGGTCATTGTGACCAAAATGATACAAAACTGCTCTGCGTTTTGCATTTGAATAAGCGACAAAGATTACGCTAGGCGGTATGTTCCTAAAACAAAACAGTCGACCCGGGTCATCTCAGGTCAATGGTCTGTTCTGACCTTTAAGAAGTCAACGGAAAATGCATAATGCGGTTCCTGCTGTCAATAAATTCGAAATGGCACCAGAAAGACCAGAAATAAATTCGAAATGTCATCAGAAACTATCGTATACAGCAAGTCCTAGAGTAATAAATCAGGTTGGTTTCGACCTTGGTCTGACCATCATACTTGACCTTAGGTCAACATAATTTGCTCATTCAATATTTGTGGTGCTTAAGAAAGCATCTCAGAGGCGCATGTCTTCGTCAAACACTCCGTTGTAGTATCAGATTGAACGATTACCTAGAAATTGCCTTCGCTGAAACCATGGGCTGATTTTGACCTGTCATAGGTCAACGACCTTACAAAGTACATCTAAAATTTGTATGTCAAACGATCCGCTATGCAATTTTCTACAGCTATGCAAAATTTGGCGCAACTACGCCGCGCAGTTCAGAAACCATTCGGGAAAAGCCCTCGGGGGTGGGGGTCAGTTTTCCCCCACTCCCCACCCCCACCCGAGCGCGTGGTAATATATTCTGTTTCGCTTTAATAGCCTAAGATGTTTAAAAACGAAATAGTTTTGTCAGGTTTCTGATATTACGTCCATGCCAGCTTTAAAAAGATGTCTTTGTTCGCTGAAGCATCAGTCGCGAGCTCATAAGTCCCATCTTTTGTGAATTGATTTTTTCACTCCCGCAGGTCTTTTTGCGATGAAATTTTTCACTTCCACCCTAGTTCAGAAGCAATTCTAGCTCCCTGGTTGCAGATGGCAAGACCGTGATACTTTGGCCCAACCCTTTAAGCCAAGGAGCCTCATTTTCGAAGGAACCACAAGAGGCATGTTGTCCCGCGCACCCTTAAGTACATTTGTGGGGCCGCCGTCGTCTATCAGTGCAACACGCCAATGCGAATATGCACAACTCATGAAATATAAAATGATTTATCTCACTTACACGCCATGTGTAGCTTCTGCCCCCCCCCCTTCCATGTCACTAAGCTTAAAAAAACCATTGCCACTCCTGCCCGTAAGACACAAGTATCATACAAACCCGTGACCGGTATATTAAACAAAACGAACATTTATGTGTTGCGATGCCTCTATCACCTACCAGACGTGCGTACGTAAGTTACCGTTCATTTCTTCCACCTTCAATGGATATAAAACAGTTGCCATACTTTCTCGCTCACTGGCTTCCAATTAACTATCAAGAATGCCTGTCAGCCAAGAGGTCCGCGAAAGCGGAAAATACGGAATTTGAACTTTGGTCCGACATGACGCGACAGATGCTGCGCACCGTGGCGAAACGGCCGTGCTCTGCAGGGGGTTGAGCACCGTGGCGAAACGGCCGTGC